TAACGCAGTACCATGATTAGTATTATCGGAGTATGTATTATTTTATAAATAAATGTACAGTATGATTTTCATAAATTATTATCATTATTTCACTAGCAGAGAAACTAACAAACTAACAAATATATACTTTTCAGTGAAGATAATATCTTCGAAGCTATTTAAAATTAGACAAGTAAAATTAGATTGGATAAAAGAAAATTAAAGTTTAAGGGTATAACTAAAGTTTGTTATTATTATTGCAGTAGTTTTTAAATAAATTTCTTTAAATTAGAAAATACATCAAATTAAATTATATAATAAAAATTACTGTTTATTAATGTTATTAGCTGTAGTTTTAATATAAACTTCTTTAAATTAGAAAATATATCAAATTAAATCATATAACAGTTAAGATTACTGTTTGTTAGTTTTATTTAAATTTTTATTGTGTTCAGTAGTGCTGTCGGAAAGCATTTTTTTTTGTTGACTTGACGGTATCAGAAGATTATGCTAACTACTCATTCCTTTGGGTCAATGATGCATCCCATTCATTACTTAATGGTTGATTAGCATAATAAAGTGTGTGGCAGGTTTATTAGAAAGAATGACAAGGCTGTGTTTTTAAAATTGATTTTTATTATTGCACCTAATACGTATTATAATTTGATTCTATCTTCATTCGTTAAACGTTCCTCTAAAGGTTAAAACATTCGGTTCGCGAGCAGCTCGAATATTCGAGTTTTCCGACAGCCCTGGTGTTCAGTACACATTAAATAAATACGCAATATATTTTTCTATGTATATTCATGTCCACATCTACTTCCATACATCTTTGAGAAAATCTTAATCATACAACACACAGCGTACTCTATTTTTACCTCATTCATACTTATTATAAGTCTCATAACCTTATGATAAATTGGATTCTTTAGTTCACATGTTAAAAATGTGTACGATGAAAGCTAGGTTATCCTTAAAAATGTTGACGTCTTTTCAAATATAATTTTTAACTTTATTCGTAGCTTCAAAATGTGTACGATGAAAACTAAGGGTCAGTGTGGAAAGTGTTTTGATACAAACCAATGCAGACAAGAAACATAAATTACTGAGTATAAATTATACAATTATTTCTTTCTCTATTGCAATATAATTTTTAATAAAACTTTATTTTCATCCATTTATAATCTACTTTGGGCTAACAACGTTTAAAATGTTGTTCGCATTGTATTTCTTAATTTCTACCTTTATGTGATGAATGTTTGTTAGCTGCGTTCGCGCGTTCAGCGGCAAGGTATTGTGAAATCTGTGATAGTATTGTACCAATTGTGTCATTGCACGTTGTACCAGTGCTGTTCCAAGCACCAAACTGGGAAACGAGTTCAGTACTTCCCTATTAATTTCTTCCAATGCTCGTTTCCAATTATTGGTAAACGATTGAACAAGACCCAACGCTTTTCCCTCCTGTTTCTTCAAATCCTCCGTCTGGCCTTTCTCAATTAACACCTCAGACTCTTTCACTAACTGTATTATTCCACCAAAGTATGGATTCAAAACTTCCTCGACATACTCTGCAGAACGAGCGTTTAATTGGTCTCGGAAGCTTTCTGCTTCCTTTGAATTGTCTCGTGTTCTTTCCTAAAAATTAAGTATATATATATTTGAATTTTCCAAGTTTCAAATCAAAATTAAGTTTTAAATTTTAAATAAAACTGACTATTCCTCCATGTACTTGAATATCAATATCTCACCATGAGTACACCAAGAACTAAATCATAGTTATTGATGAGGAAAACTAGCTGCTCGATTCTATTGGGAAATATGGTTGCCATTCTTAATAAAAAGCATTGAACGGCTTCTCTTAGTTCAGCTAATAGCTGTATTGCACCTTCGCAGGGGAATCCTTCCACTACACTGATCATCGCAGCACTAAACTCAGCATACCTACGTGTAATCTGTAAATAAACATTACAAGCATTCTTCTTTCGCTTTCTAACATTTTATGACTTACATAATGTGGTCCAGTTTCCTTGTTTAGTTTCAGTGGATCGCAGTCCTTTATGCTTTGAATATTCAATTGAAAAACATATTCAAACCTGAAATATACACATCGAATGAAATTTTAAGTTAGCAAATTAATTATTAAATGTAGATATTTAGTTTATATAGATACCTAGGCCAAATGACTGAGTTCATATTATCCCAATACTTATCCAATGCTGGCACTGCTCTTTTGTGGCAGGTTAATTGGTAACGCATTACCAAGTGTAAGCAAAGAAATAAAGCGATAGTATCATAGCAGTCGTCCACAAAAGATTGCAGGTTTTTCACCATCAGATTCAACGTCTTTGCCATTACCTACACAGAATACATTAATTATTTTCAGTAAAACTACTTTGTTAAAACTCCAATATCTTTCAACTTCACCTGGTTGAAAATATCCATAGCTTGTGTCCCACGTACTTTAAAAAATTCAGTCAAGAACAAATACTCTCGACAAGCATTATCTACAAGAGCATACTGTTCGCTGCGAAACAAGGCTTCGTAATGATACTGTAGAAACAAGATGCACAATTAAGTTTTCATACCAATACTGTGAAAGTAATGTACTGCGAATGAATAATACAATTACAAAAATTGTAATTAAAGTATCTATATCATACGTATCAATTTCACAGTGTTCATCAACTTTATAATAATCACTTTGCTACTTACTTTTGTTTTAGATGCAGTGTGAGGTACGATAATAGGTGCTTCCAGCTGCGAAGTTAAAACATCTCCTCTATTGCCAATAGAAAACACAGTGCCCCTATTCTTCAATGTAGTTTTATGAAAAATACCTCTTCCCACAGTGTCTTCAACTCCCATCAGATCGTCTTTGGTAGCACCTTCCTCGAACTACACAATGAGTCTCGAATAAACTTAAAAAACAGTTATACCATGAATTTCTAGCTTTTTTTATTTCTATATTACCTGCAATTTCATTAGCCTCGAAGAGTAAGATTTGAAATAAGAAAAATATATTTTACTCATCGTGCTAACATATTCCCCACAAATCTCTTCAGCTACATTTCTTTCATTTGCTAAAATGAACTCGAAGAAAAATTTGTACTTCAACATATTGTTTTGGGGCACTTGGTAATTCGTCATTGGCTTTCTGAATTTGTAAATCTGTTCTAAAAGATATGTTCTGATTTTTGCCATTGCTTTCACTTTCAATTTTTCTAGTATATCTTTTACATCTAAGCATGATTTTGCTTCTTTGAAAGTTTGTTCTTTCACAAAATTGATTTTGTGATTCAGTGTCTGCAGCTGGGTTAAAAATTCCTTCTCTGTTACGGGATAATCCATAATCCCCCTGGAAACATCACGTTATGTTACATTTTCATGCAAATTTTACAAAATTACAAGTTTTATTGCAGAATATTAAAGCGTTTCATTATTTAACAAATTTATTTCTTACGCAATGAGAGCTTCTGAGACTGTCATGTCTTCAATGAACTGGCTAAGGGGACCTCTGATTATTTGTCTATTGGATAGCTGTTGGCTCATTGCTATTGATTTACGTTGTAGAAAAAGTATCTCTGAACTTATGCTCCCTAGATCTAACTGGAAACTCATCAACATCAACTCCATTTTCTACGAAAGAATTTCTGAGATGTCTTGAAAGGATAATGGGGTTTTTTAAATTACGTAGTGAAAAGAATTTTCTATTTCTTAGTAGTAATGTCACAGATACAATGGTATATACATATTATCGAGAATATATTTAAATAAATGTTACTTTGATATATGAGTATAATAGAATTTACTTTAATATTAACAAACTACATTGCAGCATAACACTGTATATCAAGGAAATTTAAATTTGACGTATTGCTTTAAGTAATCATGTCAAATATTAAAACAGAAATGGTAGATGTATGCTAAGATCAAAATTGTACTAGACTCAATGTTTCAATGCGATATACACCAAAAATTAAAGCAACTCACTCTAAAACACCATTATTATTATTATTATATATGACAGTACTAATTTCAAATGCGAAACATTACTACAGCTTCCACTTTTAATAAAATAAAAATTTTTGTTTATACTTTACACAGTGCACACTCTAACCTCTAAGATGTTGTCGCACGCAGCGATTTGATTATGAAGGCTCGCTATATTTTCGCTTTCCTTTATATAATCCTGAATAGATTTATTCTCGACTTCCTTTAATTCTTTCTCGATCTGCCTGGAATATTGTCGCAAGTCCGTGCCAGTCTTCAAAACTTCCTGGACAACATCGTCTCCGAGATCTTGTGGCAATTGTACAACATTGTCGTTGAAAATATTAGTCTCGCCTGACATTTTACTGAATTTGTCTCGTTTCGTAAAATTCTGTAATTGTCCGAATTTGTATGAACCTATGTACAGTGGAAAATGTTACAAGCTATTGTATGACATAGTCTTTAAAGTGACACGCAGCGACACGAGTGTCAGTGACATTTGTTGAGCTGTCATACACAGGTCCATGCACCAGTGTTACCAGATTTGGCTCCCACTCGTGCATGCGCGTCGAGAAAAGCTGACCGCGCAGTGCCGTAGCTATAGGAAACAATGTATGATTCCATAGCAACGGTTAGCGCCAAAACCAGGAAAACCGTTCTTTAAGTTATAAAAAATGTGTGTTGTATCTGTAAAATTATTTATCCACACAATTAATATTATTATAGGTTAAACTTTACTTTGGTGAACCTAAAATTTTCAAGTTTTTTTTACTTTTAGTTAGCTAGTTTAAAACTAGCATTTCCGGATTTTTCTCTCGACAAAATCTACAGGATTATGTAAAAGAAACTTAAAAATTGTAAGACCTAAAGCTAAAGTAAAGTGCAGCCTTGTTATATGATAAGGAGTATTTCTAATTTTTCTTTGAGGCGACTAAGGGCGCCAGTTTTACGGTCGTATTAGATACTTTACTGAGGCTAAAATCCCGTTTGCGCATGGGCAATGTTTTTAGCGCCAGTGACGCCATCTATCGTTCGATCCAAACAACAACTACAACTTATCGAGAGAAAGAAGAGAGGTTATGATCGTCATGTTCCCTTTAAAAATTGCTGCATGTTCGTATTTAGTAAAGACATTTGGTAATTGATTAAAAAAATGCATATTTTGAATGACATTGTAGTCTGTTCATGTTCATTATCATAACTCTGCGATCAACATGAATTATGGACAGGTTTCTCGACTTCAGAAGTATAAACTTATTTCAAAATTAACGAATTTGATCGGCAATGTGTCCAGCAAAGTGAAGAATTTTGAAACACCAGAGAGGTTGAAAGGAACATTCCTCGAACGATGGGGTTGGTATTTTATTTCAAGTGCAATATAAAGTAAAAGTAATACAGAACATATAATTTGATACCTTTGTTTACAGGCAAATACTGGAAGAATGTTTATATAGACTACAAAGATGTAGCCGATAGCGTTGTCAAAGACTGCAGAGAACGTCCTATACGAGCTTCTGTGTATGCTTCCTGTACGTATGATACATTCAAAACTTTCGCAACTTGATTCTTTAATATCGATATTAGACACTTCTGGGTCGAGGCCTTATCCTTTTGAAATACAATATTTGATCCACATCATCGTAGCTAATTTCTTTAGGTTTTATAGGAAGGATATGGCATGTACCCTCTAATAACTCTTCAAGTAATGAATACTCTCGATCGAAACAATCAATGGAGATCGCACATGCTTAGAAGTTGCAATCGCTAAGGGATACAGTACTTTTCTGCTAATGCAAACAAGACACGACTCAATTAAAACTGAAATCTTTTATTGCCCTGTGTTCAATTTACTTTTGTTGCTGAGGAGCAAACGATTGATTTCTATGATAATTATTATGCTTGAGATTGTAAAAGATTACAAACAGTTTAGCAAATGGGTGAATCCATTCATAGTCCACATGGTTGGTTTCTTCGGATGCATATATTCATAGCACTTGAAGAGTTTTTACAGATTCTTTGCAATTAATAAAGTAAAAATAGTGTATCAGTTGTAGCAAATTACAAAAATCTATTACAAGCAATACCGAAGTGAATTTATATGAACTAAATTAAAAAATGGATGAAAGAAATTTAGAATTATTACAGTTTATTTCGTTAGTTATAGGATTGGGTGTGTATATGAACAAGCATAATCCAGACGAATGCATCTTCAGAGAACAGTTATTGCAAAGTACTATGAAAGTAATGCAAGTGGGACAATCCATACGCAATCCCATATCCGAACATCACGTGAAGTGGCTAGGACAGTGCTATAACGAAGGAATTATACGGCAACTGAATTTAGGTATAGTTTCTTTAATTTGGTTGGATAACTACGATGAAGCATGTTCACTATATAAAGCATCATGCTCTTATTTGAAACCTCGATATATAACATTCTATCACAGAGTGGTGGATGTAGGATTCTTAGATACATGGTGGGTTTTAGAAAGTAGAATGAAAGATTATGATGTAAACGAAGCAGAATTTAGTAATGTGGAATATGCATAAAATGTTTTAGGCATGTTTCTATTATGCGAATTACTTAAAAATTGCGTAATTTTTTGTGATGAATACTTAACAGTACAAACTTTGTATGAATGTGATTGCTTGTTATAATAAATGTATGTTATTAATTACTATTTATCTCTGTTATTGTACTATTAACGTAAATACTTTATTTCCCAGTTGCTAAAAGATATAATTAGCAAAAATTGAGTTAAACTAATTGTGTAATTATAGAAATTTCATTATAATTCTGTGCCAAGCGAAATTATGTGACAAAGAAACCAGATGAATTTCTCTTCAAAATAGAAAGCGTTGAGGTAGATGTATATTCTTTCTATGTCTAAAATGAATCTTTAATATAATCTGTTCTTGTCTCTCTTTAAATAAAAGATAATATAAGACAAGATCAAATTAAATGATAAGTATACAATGTTGAAAACATACTCAGAAAATCCATAGATGTTTTAGCTTTAGCTTCCGCCAGTTTATAATGTACCATAAACCTGAACTGGACTATTAGTTCAATTAGTCCAACCATAATGGATTGTTAGGTAATTATAATCTATTTTTTTTTAATGTGTATTTATGAAGATATTTAAAAAAAAACTGCTAGATCTTATCTAGAGAGCATTTTAATCCATTGAAATTTTTTTTTAAATAACTTCATAAATACACATTTTATGAAAACAGTGGATGTGACACTTTTGATAGAGAATTTAATTCCCCATAAAATCATTTATATAATCTTCTCCTTGACTCTGCATATTTCACGTGATGTTCGGATATGGGATTGCGTTAATGCATTATTATTAAAGTCATATTTCACAAACCCTTTGCAAATCTAAAATAAAGACTAATAAGACGAGTTTCTACTAAAGATGATTTTCTATTATAATACATCTAACAATAAAAGGATATTTTTCGTTTTATTATCAGAACTATGTACAAGCAACATAACAATATAAATTTTAACTTTTATATCACAAACAAGTCTTATCCAGTTGAATGATTCTCAACCGTAGAAAAATGTATATCGACACGAGTATTATAGGAGTATTATGTACCAAACACATTCGATTCATTATTAATGTTACAGCTAAGTCTCATTGTAGGGTTTCCAAAGACACCATTCGCGACTATTTTACAATTAGCACTTTCCTCTTAACTTTAACAGTTTCTAACAAAATAATAATGAAAAGCTTTGGTACAAAAAATAGTTTCTTCTTAAATTTGTGCATAGTAGTTTAATATCAGTCCTTGTTTTCATTATGCCCAATACAATTTTCTCACGTTTCTGAAAACAAAAAATTGCCATTAGTATAAACAACTAACGAGATATTCCGATGACTAGACTGCGTATTTTATGCATTTATGATATAAACATAATAAACACATGCTAAACATAAACAAAGGGTATATGCACTTATGCAAAATTAAGTAATAATATTATTATATTAATTATAGAATATATTCAACATTTATTATGTATATTTTAAGTACGTTGAATATTTTATTGTATTTATTGTCATAAATGCATAAAATCCGCAGTTTACTGATGACTTTACCTCGACCGTAAACAATAGCTGTGCGACAAGGAATATAAACCATCATCTTGTTCGAATAATTAGAAAACGGTTCTGGCGTGGTAAAATGTTGCACGTTCTTGTCGACGCGAGTTTCCCCTCCAAACTCTTGATCGTCGCTGCACAAAAGAGTCCTGTAGGTTCCTGGGATCTTCACTCCTATGGGGTAATCAGGAAACGACTTCTCTGGATGGAAATTGAAGACAAATATGAGATCTGCCCGATCGAAAACTACGACTTTATCCTCCTCGTGTTTCCAACTTATGTATGCCTGCAAAGAAAGATTGTGTTATCAAAGTATAACAACAGTTTCATCAAAACACAAATGGTACATTCCATGAAAAATTAATCAGTTTTGAATCTTCGATTTGTTGAGTTGTCTGAAAATTTTGTATATTATTCTATTCCCAAGAAACTATTTTGTGAATTTTTAAAAAAAGTTTTTCAAGTCGATTTCGAGATATATAAGTACAACTAAAAAAAAATCGAAGATTCAAAACTGATTGATTTGGCGTGGAATGCACCAAATACAGTTTCAAACATTTCTAAACTTTACAGGGTAAGAGTGCAGCCATCCGTATTTTTCTTCGAGAGTATTTATGGCACGATCCCAATTGTTCATGAATTTGTATTTCAACATCTCATCGTCCACTAAATTCCATTGACGCCTGGCGTAGTGATAACTGTCTCCATTGCCAGCTCGAGGGAAATCCAGCCATTCGGGGTGGCCAAACTCGTTACCTTAAAATTCACACTTGGAAATTCTGATAGGAAATTATTATTTAAACGATTTTAAAGCTTACCTATGAAATTTAAATATGCTTCTCCTCCCAGCGCATGTGTTATCAACGTGATCAGATTGTGAAGAGCAATTCCACGGGTGATGATCGGGCTAGGTGGACTTAGCAGGCTCATATGCGTGTACATCTCCTTATCCATAAGCCAGAACGCTATAGTCTTATCCCCCACGAGAGCTTGATCGTGAGACTCTGAATAAGCCACTGTCTTCTCCATCCACCTGCGATTACTCAGCGTCCAACAAATATCTCCAACCTTCCAATCCTCGTCTTTCACTTCTTTTAGGAGCTTGATCCATTTATCAGGGATAGCCATGGCTAAGCGATAGTCAAACCCTACTCCACCTTCAGCGATGGGTCTTTAACAATTACCGAAAATGATTAATAATTGAGTTATGCTAAAGGCTGCGATAAACTTATATCTTCATACCTGCAAATTCCAGGCATTCCACTGACATCTTCTGCTATTGTAGTCACTTCTGGATATAAATAGTGTAACAAGTGGTTTGCAAGCATTAAGTACACTACTCCTTCGACATCAACATTCAGACCATAATATTCATCATAGTGACCACTGAAACCTTGTCCGAATCCTCTCGAGTGATACAACATTGATGTGACGCCATCAAACCTACATAAATTTTACATAATCAGTTATGTACAAGTTATATACTGTATATACGGGTACCATAAAACAAATAATGCTTGCGTACCTGTATCCATCGAAGCCATACTCTTCGATGTACCAGCGTAAGTTGGAAAGCAAGAAACGTAACACTTCGTATTCTCCATAATTAAAGAGCCTGCTATCCCAAAGTGGATGTTGACCACGATGACCAGAGTGGAAGTAACAGCTATCGGTGCCATCGAACATGTTCAATCCATCCAAAGTATTCTTCGATGCATGCGAATGCACTATGTCCAACAACACATATAGGCCATGTTGATGCGCTGTGTCTATTAATTCTTTCAATTCCTCTGGTGTACCATAGCGAGACGAAGCAGCATAGAATGAAGTTACCTTATTAAGTTTAATTCACAATCTGTTCAATGTCATCTATACATGTGTGCAAATGGTATTTACTATCGCAACAAAATTACACAGACATTTTTGTAATTGAATATAAAGTAATTTTAGAAACTGTAATAGGGAAGTAAATACAGTAGACAAATGTTCTGATAAAATGTTAACGTAATCCTAAGCTATTATTCACTTTTGTATTGTTACATAATATTTCTGTTTTAAACAGACTATGATATCTAGAGCATGTGGAACCTCTATTGATATGATTGAAAATCGTCTGTTTCTAATTAATATTATGAAGATTATAAGCTGTTATTTTTTTCGAGTATAACCTTTATATATGTACCTCTATAATATGTCCAAATTTCAAAAAATCTCAAAAGATGATTCAAATATCTCTTCGGGGTCGATTCATCAAGACTAACCCAGACTAAATTAAAGGCGAACTACAACTTTACAATTTTTGCATGATTAACACTCCGCAAGAGGTCCCAAAGAACTGATTTTCAAGTCGCTTACTAGAGATGCATACCTGGTATCCAAAACTGGCATAATAAGCATGTTCCATAATTGCCATCAGTTGTATAGTGTTGTAACCTTGCTTCACTATACGAGGAATTAGATTTTTGGTAAATTCTAAATATGTGCCAATTTTCAGTTCTTGAGTTGCGATACCAACATGGCACTCATAAATTCTGAGACTCTGCGGCCTTTTTGGTTTGGGGTGCTTGAATTTGTAAATCTGTATAGAGAGATATCATTTTTGATTATTAAGTATTATACAATACAATGAATAATTACATATGATATGATTACATAAATATATATTAAATAAATGTAAACAAATGAGGTGTTCCATTTATCATGACGACTCTAAACATTTCCATAGTATTTAACCCTTTGACTGCGAAGTGAAATGTTTGTATTCATCAAATCAATTTTTAAAAAATATCAGTTTATAGGGAATAATTAGACGAAACTTCTTTATATTTACAGTTTATTCATAGGACGCTTAGTTTCGAAAATAAAAATTGAAACGTTACAAGTCCATTACCAAAATAGAATTTCAAGAAAAAGGTCTTTTATCTCTAAAACTAAACGTCGTATGAATAAACTGTAAATATAAAAAAGTTCCGTCTCATCCTCTCCTATAAACTAATATCTTTTTTTAAATTCGATTGTTCGACTGTTGCTTTTTTTTCTTTAAGACAATAGCAACAGGATCAGACGACTACGAGATCTGAGGGAAAAGGTCTGCTGAGTTTTCAATTTTTATTTTTAAAACTAAACATCTTATGAATAAAGCTATTCAATTCATCGCTTCTCCTGTAAATTTTAGTTCCTTGCGGTGGTCCTGTTCCTGTAGTAAGATATTGATGCAAATTAGTCTGTAGAAAATAAGGTGAATCAAGTAAAGGGACTCTGAAACCTTCAGATGAAGAAAGCCCTTCCCCAAAGCTTCAATTAATATAACAAAATTGTCCATCTATCTGCCAATTACTTTTTTATCTACTGGCATGCAGTTGATTTTTTAATATTTCTGTATGAAGTACAAAGAGGTCCTCCCTATAGCTTTTTTAAGCATTTTATTTGAAGCTACCTAACTCTCTCTCTCTCTCTCTCTCTCTCTCTCTCTCTCTCTCTCTCTCTC